TCTCCTTATTCCCAATTTTTTCCTTTAGTTTTATTTTCAATACTTACCTGTTTTAGCTCTGTCACTTTTATTTTTAGCTCTCTGCTGGCTAATTGTGACTTACTTAATCATACAAATAACTGCTTATAATCACAGCATTTCTTCATGTATTGGAAATATCTCAGTCCGGGGAAAGAAACAAATTTTGTAAGCTCTATTTTACAGATAAGAAAAAGAGAAGGTGCCAAACAGTAGACTAGCTTGTCAAAATCATCCTACTGAATAGTGACTTAGCCACTATTAGACCCTGTTAGAACCCAGGCCCTCAGGGGGCCACTAGAACAAGAACACACACCTGCCCCCTAGAGGCAGAAAGCAACCTGGCAACTTTCATGTCCCACAAGTCCCAATTTCCTGTTCAGAGAACGAGTGATCCCTGTTCTGTAGCACAGGCCACATATTAACTATACATGATTCTTCATGATGAAAGCCCTCCCCATTCATTCCCATCTCCTACGAGACCTCTAAAATAAAACACCTTGCTTCATCCCTCAGGCCTGAAATTCCCTACCTCCGACCCCGATATGCACTTGCCATTGTTAAAGACCTTAGCCTAAAAGGAACCCCTCATTCAGCATCACCCTTCGGACCCTACAACCTAACAGAGGGTCTTTTGACCCAATCTTTCATTCTTTCTGCTCAAACCTCGTGGTCTGAATGTGTGGTGTGGCAGCCATGAAGCTCTCAGGATATGGAGCGCAGATCGCCTGCTCATGACAACCTAAAGGACGAAAGCCCGTTCTGCTCCCATTGTCTCCTGAGCTCAGTCGCCATCGGCTGTGTTAGACAGCACAGCTGCACTACAAAGAGAGTGAAAATGTCAGGCGAGATGAGGAAGAAAGCAGAAATCTCATTCCTCTGCTGCCTAGAGGTGGAGAAGAAAGCATTCTTGGGGCTCCTCCTCCTGAGGGTGGGTTCATCTCCAGAATTTTAATGGCAGCCTCTTTTCCAATGCTGTTTCCCACTCTGAGGCAGACAGATTACAATGTTTGGTGGGTAAGACTCATGACTCAGGCTTCCATCCTGCAATCAGGTGTATTTTTAATTTAAGTTCTGTGCAATTTGGCTAATGTTAACTTTATTGGGCAATTACCTCATTTAGAGTGCTTTTAACATCACTGTAGATGAAGCTGTCAGCTTACAAGAGATGCGCTTTCTGACAGCAACACAAAGAGAAGCTGGGACAGGCTTTTCTTTTAACCTATTTATGAAAATTTTATAAGCCATTTTCCCCTTGTAGACTTTCCCTTGTACTTTGCATGGGGCTACAGCTATTAAAACGGAAAAGGGCCACCCAACTCCCCACCCTCCCACCCTCCCGCCCCGTGTCCAGGCCAGCTGCCTCTGAGCCAGAGAAATTCCCTGAAGGCCCTCTCTTCCACCCAGGAATTGTTAGGGCTCTGAGGCAGCACCACTTGGCAAGCCAGCCAAGGACATCAGTGTACCATCAGGGAGGGCATGTGTGACTTCTGCCCTGAGACAAAATTCAGACTACTAGTCAGCCCTGACTGTCCGTATACATGATCAGCAGCCCCCAAGAGGGCATATAATCTTAACATGATTATATGCAGTTAAGTAAATGTTCTCTTGCTTGGTAAATTTGAGAATATGTGCAGCAGATTTCATGCTTCTCTTAAAGACCTGTGAAGCACATCCACATGCTTAGGATTCTGAGAATTGCCCCTCAGAATTGGTCCTTACCTGAGAATAAGGCTGCTGCATGTGACATCAGGTAAGAGAGTTCTTAACCCATGCCCTGTAAAAAGGGACATGTAAGGGAGGCGTGGTAGCTCACACCTGTGTTCCTAGCATTCAGGAGACAGGGATAAAATTGCCATGAGTCTGAGGTCACCCTAGGATGCATAGTGAGTTCCAGACAATCTGAGCCACAGTGTGAAACCCTGTCTCATACAAGAAAAAGGAACAGAGGTACCCACACAGGGAGAACAATGTGTGAGCCTGAAGACGAAGATCAGAATTCTGCAGACCTCCAAAAGCTAGGACACAGGTAGCCAGCTTCTCCTTGGAAGCCTTGGGAATAAACCAAATCTTGTTCCAACTTCTACCCTCCACAACCATGAAATAATCAATGCTGTTGTTCAAGTCACCAGGTTATGGTATTTTATTATAACTGCCCTAGGAAATGAACCAGATGATCAGACAGCTTCCCTGCATGAAACAGCTAGTTAGCAGTGAAGCCAGGGAGAAAAATCAAGCCTTTGGCCTGGGGCCCGTGCTCTGTTCAGCCAACATACCCAGTGCCATCCCATCTTCAAACCATCTTGGCAGGAGGCCGAGAAATGGCATGGGAAGAGAGAAGGGTAGCTGGAGGAAAAGAAGATGAAAGAGGACATAATGTACCCTCTCCTATTTTTTGTAGAACTCTTATGGATGAAAATTTAAAGGATATTGGAAAAATAAAATTGTTGAATTTGTTAAGCATTTGCTATTTGACCTGTTACCTGACCTTAACTGTGAATTCCCAATATACTGATAAGGAATCAGCTAACACAGACACTTATAAACCATGTCCAGTGCACCCTCCTAAAACTCAATGTGGCCACAACTTGGCCACGGGCAGCCAATTCAGACTCCAACTACTTATCACTGTGCTCAGGTTTTATCTGAAATGCTGACTTTTTAGAAAAACAGAGTGCTTTGATCACTTAGGATCTGGGCATCCAGATATGATCCAGTTTATTCAAGCATGTTTATATAGCTGGTTCTCTCTGATCGTGCTCCTTTTATGGAGCTTGCTCTAAGGGTCTCTGCAGTAAAGAGAGCATGCAGGATTAAACACCTTTCCAGGGTGGATGTCTTTGTATCTTCACGCATTACAACAGATCTGCAGTGTAAAATTTCCACTTAGCCTCCCCTTTGATGCAAGGCCAACAGTGAGCCTTCAGCCCTGGGGAAAGCCATCACAGCAGATCGCTGGCTTTTCTGGTGCAAGTTTGATTGCCAGGGCCCTACCCTGTGTCGGCACACAAGTCAGAGATTCCACGCCACTGAGGCCCAAACATCAGGTTAACAATCACATGCTACACATCAGGCAGGTAAACAACTATCGATTCCATAGCCTGCTAACCAGATAATATTCCCAAGAGTATCGGTATCACCAATTTGTGCCCCAATACAAACTATGTTTGAACAAAGAAAAATAATTACTGGCATTTGTGTGAGAATTAGGAACCAGCTAGAGAAACGCTAGGGAGCCCAACTTTATATAATGTTAGAAATAGTGTGCAAGAGTTTGAAATACCACCAGGCGGTGGTGGCGCACGCCTTTAATCTCAGCACTCGGGAGGCAGAGGCAGGCGGATCTCTGTGAGTTCGAGGCCGGGCTGGACCGACAGCCTCCAAAACAATACAGAGAAACCCTGTCTCATAAAAACCAAAAAAAAAAAAAAAAAGAGTTTGAAATACCAACTTGTGCTAGACTAAAGAATGTAATTTAAAAACTCAATGATTTTTTTGCTGCCCAGAATCAGAAGCTACTGTAATAATTTAACTGGAATCTTCTATTACATTAGTCACTGACTTTAAAAATGCAAATCTTTTGACTATAAGCAACATAAAAGGCTCATTCTTCAGGGTTTCTTCTAGAGTCTCTGGACTTCCTCTCACACCTTTTTTTTTCTCAGCTTATAGATCTTAAACAAATTCATGCTTACACCCCCTTTGGCTCCTCACTGTCCCTGTGTATTCTAAAAGGTGTCTCATGTATAAGAATCTGGAAATGCACTTTTTGAAAGGAAAAAAATTGAATTCCAAAATACCCTATGCCTGTATTTTCAAGTTTGGGCATACAGACTGGTTGGTATTAGAACTTAAAAATGAAAATGATGAATATAAATATCATTGAGTTTTTAATTGCCTGAATGCAGAACATGTCCTCGATATAAGCAAATAGGAAGTCCCTCAGGGAGCCCACAGTCATTTAGGCTATCGCTAAAAATACTCCCATATTGATAAGAAAAGTGCATTTGAAAATACGATGTGTTAGCCCAGTATTGAGAGTTTTAGTGGCATATGGAATGGTTCCTTTAGATCACTAGAATTCAGGCTGAGAAAATCCCATTGAAACACTGTGAAATCTTAGCCCAGGATGGAGAATAATCCTCCATCTCGTCTTTACTCTTGTCTGTCTGAGCCAGCATTCCTCACAGGTCAGCATGCTTGAGAGCCACCCAGTAGCTTTTGAACTCCAACCTCTGCTGGTCAACACTGGCAGCTTCTGGTTCTGCAAGTCTGGGGTGAGACCTGTGAGTGTGCACTTCTAACAAGAGCCGGGTTGCAGGGTCTGCTGTTGCCAGACCCTCCAGTCATAAAAGAACAGCAGAGTGCCATTTCAACAGTCACGAAATAATTAGAGCCATTTAATTGTTTCGCTTTTATTGTGTATTTCTATTGGTTTCCTTTCCCACAGACAGGATGGGAATCAATGCAATGTTGTAAATCACCAGGACAGGTTTTTACAATGAGAAAAAGAAATAGCCTACTTCTGGCTGAATCTCCTCCCACCAGCCAGCCCCTCACCCCACCACCATTCAACTATGAACCCCACCCCCTTGGAAACTGAAATAGTGTTCAGTTTAGCAAACTCTCTCTGGGGGCCCTTCATCTAAAGGGAAATGTGGTTCTCATGTCATCTGAAAGGCACAGGCCTCCCTGGTAGTCTCAGTGTGTCTAGGCTAAGGGTAAGAGATGCTACAAGTTTGTGTATACATTGTAGATTTATGGCATCTGCGCCACAAGTCCGAGGTATCAGGAAATGAAAGATGAGACGTCCAACCGTTTGTGCTAAGAGAATGTGTCTGCCACCTTTATTTTTATTGTCAGGAGAATGCATGTGTATGTACCATACCTATGTGTCTTTATTGCAAGTGCTAAGAGCACTCTCTCTCTCTCTCTCTCTCTCTCTCTCTCTCTCTCTCTCTCTCTCTCTCTCTCTCCTCTTCTCTTCTCTTTCTCTCATAGAGAGGGAATAGACTTATATACAGACTTACAGGACAGTGGGAAAACACCAGGTGGAAGAGCTCATGTTTTCCTCCTGCTAGATGTTGATGTCAGTGGGGCAATGCTGGAGCAGTAAGCCAGGACTAGAGAGTAGGATGCACTGTGGCTATCAGCTGACAAACAACTCAGAGACCCTGTGGGGGCTGGGACTCAACACAGATTATCGTGTTGTTTTAGAGATTATTGTGTGACTGGAGGAAAAGCAGTCATCTCTCTTGTTTTTATTTTCTGCCTTGAAATATGGAAATATTGTTGCCTTATTCCTTCAACAACTTCTTGAAGGTCAGTGTTGTCTCAATATTTTTTACTAGGTCCCTGCTATTTACTTGTTAAAGACTGGAAACGAGCCAAACTTGAGGTTTTACTCCCAGGGCAACTAGAAAATGAGTTTCAAGAGGTTTGCAGGTCACCAAGGGCATTCTGTGGTCTTTGCTGCAGCCGAATGCCATGTGGCTGTCCATGGTCTGTGCTCCCACTAGAGACCACCTTGATGTGTATGTGGTGTGTATTTAGAGTGTATGTTGTGTATGTGGTGTGTTTTTAGAGTGTATGTTGGCATGTAGGTGGTGTGTATTTAGATGTATATGTTGATGTTAGTATGTGGTGCTGTCAGAGACAATGATAAGGCCTGTGCCCCATGTTGTCACCAGAGACCATATTGAGGTTCATATGGTCTGCCACCTCCAAGAACCATGATGGTGTCTGAGGTCCATGCTTTGACCCAGGACCATGTTGATGTCTGTGGTCTGCAATGCTTCCAGAAACCATATGTAAGTCTGTGATCCATGCTGCCACTGACTGTAAAGGACAAGGAAGCTTCTTTTGCTGTGATACTGATGACTACAGACTGGACATCGAGAAGAACTCTGAAAATTGTGATAGGGATCCTGGAGTGAAGCTCTCCACAGTTGATGGCTTCTGGCAGAGGAGGGGTGGAGACAGACTGTTTTCTTTATAGGGCTGGCCATGGGGAGTGTGACCATTCTCCAGTGAGTATATGGGCAACACAAATTGGACTTGGTGTTTTTCTTCTGTTTTTCTTCTCTTTGAAGGAGGTCTCAAGGGAGAGGCTATGGACCTGGGAAGATGGGGAGGTGAATGTTATCAGGATGCATCATTTGAAACCCCCAAATAATTAATAAAAATATTGTGTTGGGGAGAAAAAGAGGTTAGCGGGCAGCAGCACTCTAACAATGTTTGAAGTCACTTGCAGTCGCCCTCTCTGGCTCACCAGCCCTGCCTCTGGTGCTGGCAGGGTACACAGTGCTACAAACACAAGTCTCTTGAGAATTCTCATCTATAGCTTTCCATTTCCCTATGCAGCTAACATTCCCCAAGGCTGATCTAAGCCTACTCGGAAGTGCCTAGTGCCTAACTGCCTCAGAGGAAACCCTTGTCCTAGAGGGTAGCCAGTTCACTGTCTTATTTAAACTGTCACATTCTGGGTAGTCAGCTCACTGTCTTATCTAAGCTGTCACATATCCTCAGCTGCCATCCATTTGTTTTCTTCCCTTCCTTGGCTGAGTAACTGACCTTCAGACAGAGCTGAGCTGGAAATGGAGCAGAAATTTTGTCTTTTCAAGGAATTCTTGCAAGTTAAGGGAATGGAAAATGGGAGTTCCTTCATAGTGGCCTCAACAGCTGCTTATTGGACTGTGTGGGTTTTAGTATCTGGGATGTGTTTCATCTCTTTTTCCCCAAGCAATGCTAACACAGCTTCTACCAATGACAATATGAGCTCAGTTTTCTGGAACTAAACTTGGAGGAACAAACACTAACAGAAGGACCTAGTCCTCATCAATAGGACCTGTGGGTCCTGCAACCAGGGATAACTTCAGACCTAACAGTGCCTTTCTCTTCCTTTCAGGACAAGAAGACTAATTGAAATTCAGATTTTTCCAGAGTCCTCAGTTCTTAATAGCCCCCAGCCTCCCTAGTCAATCCCTGCTGGGAAGTTGCTCATTGTCCCACAACCTTGTACAGGGGCAGCAACCATATCTACTAAATATGAGCATCTTGTTCAGTCCTTTCCTTGATTGGTCAGATCACCTGAGTCTTAGCATGACTGAGTGACGTGGAATTTAGATGACTGTCTCGTATGGGACACAAGGGAGGCAGGAACTCACCACTTAACCACTTAACCACTCCACAGATTTACCCAGGAAAATAATTCAATTGCCACACACCCATGGGAGAATTATTTCCATTCCAAGGAGAAACTAAAATGTTCTCTCTGCTTCTCCAGTACCCTAGTAACACCCACAGCATATTCTACATGGCTTTCCCCTACCTTCACCACATATCTCTAAAACCTTCCTTCCCCTCCCCCACCACCCATCCCTTTTCCACCCTTACATCTTCCAGACTGAGGAGTGAGTAGCCTGACTCTAGATCCAGGTTACCTGGGCCAAAATCCATGTTCTAACAGAACGAGACTTCTGTAGTAGTCCCCAAGTGTGGTTCTGTCTGCCAGCAGAACTTCCTCATCCACACACTGGTGGCACCGCCCACACTTAAGTCATCAAAGACCCACAGAAAATAAAGAGCCAGAGCAGAGATGAGTGTAAGACACAGATCTCTGCTTTCCTTACCTTCATGACCTCATCTCCATTCTAGCCACTTTTTCTGGACGCCAGACAATATTATCACCTGGAACCTGCAAAAACAAAACCAGAAACAAAACTAGTTATCCAGTTTCTGTCCTCCAACCTGATCAAGGCCTTGATTCCTCAGGTTGGGCTTCACTCCTCCCATCGCTCTCTTTGTGTTCTTCCCACTTCCCTCTCCAATAAAACCTAGACTGTCCCCATATATCTTGTTGGAGAGCAGCAAGTTTCCACTCTGCCTTCTGTAGTTCTCCACTTGGAGTGTTAAGTAGCAAAGGAAAAATCAAATAGCCACAGAAATAGGTCTCCTGATAGCTCCTGACTATCTCGTGTTCCCAGTCTCCTAAAAGTCCTAAACTCAGAACTACCCCTCCAGTCTTAGCACATAATCTTTATTCCTAGCTCATGGAAAGGTGACCGTAGACAACGGGGCCCCTCACCTTTTACCCACTACACATCAGTACATGTCTCTTCCTCTGTGTCGTCATTCTACTGCCTCCCATGCATGAAAAAAGGATCTCCCTGTGGCAGACAATACCTTTACTTGCACACTATTCCTTCTGACTTCTGTAAAATCATTACATAATTGGCCACTGGGACTTTTTCTCATGCTTTCCTCTGGGTCTCTACAAATGCCACAGCATATGAGGCAAGAAGGAAATCCAGTTCAATATGACTCAGTAGCCAGTGTTGGCTCAAGTCTGACACTGGGCAGTTTATTTAAGGCATAGTTAAGCACACCACAATTGGGGGAAGAAGCTTCCTGGTGATAATTAACTCAATCCTGTGGATACAACAAAGCTTAAGATACACTGACATTGAAACTCTACAGAGAACATATGAACGCTTCCATAAAGATGTGTTCTACTTAGTGAGAAACAATGCTCTAGGTAGGATGACTGAGATAAACATAAATGTCTGTGGGAGTCAGGTGTGGCCTGACCCTACAGATAGTATAGAGGTTACCTACACTATTGTAAAGTATATGTGACATCTTCCATAAGGACAGGTTCTATTAACCGTGAAGCAATGTTCAAGATGAAGGTCTATAGGAAGAAGAATCTGCAATAAGCATAATAGTCTGGGGAAATCAGGTGTAGACTGGCCCTACAGACTGCACAAGTCGTTAGGCTATTAACTATGTCCATTCCCAGCCTCTGGGCAGAGCACAGGTGTGTACATCTCTTCATTGAAAAGGCAACCCCGTGTGTTTGTCATCCTTGGTTTCCCTAGTGCTTCTCGGCGGGCACAAGGACTCCATGCCCTCTACACTTTCCTTCATCTTCCCCATATCGCTGAAATACACTGGAGTCTAAAGACTTAAAACACTTCTAAAATATTTTCTCACTCCGTACATACTGCCTTCTTCTTGACAGAGTTACTTCTACTTCTGCCACCATTTCCTAATTGCATGCTGTCTCTGGCTTATGTACAAGACTCTCATAAATGTCACAAGTGATGGCTGTGCCACTAAGTCCAAAGGATGCTCTTCAGTTCTTTTCTTCAGAGTTCTACCCTGTCTACTCCTCCTCCTTCCTCAGAGTTCTCTCCCTCCTTACCGTTCTTGCTACTTGAAGGTCCTCGCATCTTCTGCTTACTACTTAAATAGTTCCGTTCATTGTGATTCAATGATTGAAACTCGCTCCAGTTATTCATTGCCAAAGAACAAATGAAATGACCCCAAACTCAGTGGCCTAAAATAGCTATCATGGTCAAGACATCAGGGGCCAGAAATTCAGTCCAGGTACTGTAGCAACTCTTCTGCTCTCCATAGCATTGACTAGAACACAAATCGGTTCAGTTCATGGCTAGGCCAGCCTAATAGTTTCTAGGACCTTGACAGAAGTAATCAGAAAGTTATGAATGTATTTCTCTGCAATTTTCCCACATGATCTCTCCAGCAAGATTGCCAACCTTGTCATAAGGCAGTTTAAATACCCAAGAACAAATGTTCCAGAAAGAGAAGTTTGGCTGACCTTATGCCTGAGTCTAGCACAGCAGTATTCCTGATCCTACAGAGTGTATTCAGGGGAAGGAGACAGAAATCCCCAATGAGAGGGAGAGCCAGGAATTTGTGACCACCTATGGCGCTACACACACCTTCCTCTCCTCTCTGCGTCCTTGTCAGCTCCCACCTGGAACACTGCACTGCCCGCTTGTCCCCTGCTCCATGCTGCCCCTTCCACCTTGGTGTCTTCATGAAGTCAGAGCTACCTGTCGATCGCACACATCATTCACCTGGCTGACGCTCTTTAGAGGAAAGTCCAAATGCCTTAGCACACCAACCTCTGCCTTCCCCCTCACCACTTTTCCCTTTAATGCCGTGGTACTGAGATTCTTATGTGTGTCATGCTTTCTTTTGTTTCTAAGCCTTTTTTTTTTGTATTGTTTCCTCTGGGACTTTGGAATATTCCTCTGACCATCGCTCTGCTCTGTGACCCATCTCCCGTGGGTGAGTACAAGTGCACATTTCCACACACATTGTCCTCTTTCAACCTTGTACATTTTTTGTAGTCCAGGACAGACAGCACCAGCATTGATTGGAAACACCATAGAAAAACAAAGTTTCAGACCCTATTCTCTATTTAATGAATGAGTTAAGAGCTTTCTAAGTGGGGCTCAGGAATTATAATTTTGTATGAGGCAAAATATGTCCAACACACAATATATTCTTGTACAGAATCTTTAGCAATAAATAAATATTAAAGGGTAAAGGATTAAATGGAAGTCATGATTTTAGCAATTCTCCCCAGGTGAGTCTTTCTACTCTAAATCTAAGAATCACTAAGTTATATAGCACTTCCTCCAGGGAGCTTTATCCACCATAATTCTTCATCAAACAATGATTGCATCTTGCCAGTCTTGTAAGGTGGAGTTTCCTGTCTTACCTTGCCAGTGAACTTGTGGTGGTGGCCACACCCTTTGGGCTTGGTTTCAGGTGCAGATGGGACCCATTGTAAGGTAGAGGAGGGGCTGGCTCGAGCTCTCTTGGGTAGCAGAGAGCATCTGAAGGGTAGAGATTGTTTTTTTCTGGAGCCCAAAGAACATGGCGATTATTTACTCGTATCTGTGTAAGTGCTTCCACCTATTTATCATTTATCTTGGGTCTGGTAGACTCATTTAAGCCCCACCTTCACACCCTCTTGAATGTTTCTGTGTCCTCATTCTTAACCTAATCATAGCCCCTATCACAAGTTGCTGTAATTGCCAACTAGTTTTGTCAACTGAGTCTCTCCCTCTCCCTGTCCCTCTCCCTGTCCCTCTCCCTTTCCCTTTCCCTCTCTCTCTCTCTCTCTCTCCCTCTCCTTCTCTCTCTCACTCTCCACTCTCCACTCTCCTCTCTCCCCTCTCACAAACAGGCTCTACCCTGTTTACGGCTGTGTCTCCAGCATCTACATAACCCATACCACAGAAAGAACTCAGTAAGAAGTTGTGAGGCCATCTGCCTTCATCCAACTCTTATAAAAAGACACACTACAAACTCCAAGAACAGGAATGTCATGCACTGAGGATATCTGCAGCCAGTAGCTAAGATCAGGATTGGTTGTTGTTGTCCTGATATTATTGTATTACGTAGACTTTCATATACTGGAAAGGAGACGCTTACTAGGTGCAAAATACATAACCACAAAAGAGGACAACTGTGTGTGCTGTTGACTCTACCTACAGCCCTGAAAATGGACTCTAGGCCTGAAATCAGATGACCCAAGATAATAAATAGTTCACCCATCCCTGCATGGCCCAGTTCCTCCACTGCTTGTATTTTAATATACTAACTACATTTACTGGAGTTTCCAGAATGCCAATGAATCTTTCAAATTTTGGCAGAAAAGAAGAATCTAGGTCATGCAACTATGAAATCTGAATAAGGTGTAATTAACATGTCCATCAACTTTCGCAGAAGCAATGCTAGTTTGCAAACTATTCATTAATCTTGTGCAATAACAGCAACTGGGTACAATGCCAACGCCAAGCTGAGGATGGGAGGCTCAGTGCGGTGTAAACCCAGGAGTGCTGTCAACAAGAAGGGTGAGCTGCTCTGCCTCCTGCTTAGGCAGACAGGACTATGTAAGAACTTGAGGTTAGACTCATCGGTGTTGTTCACAAAGTCATCTGCGAATCATGAAAACATTTCGTGAATTGTTTGGGAACTTGGGAAGAATGACCCCTTCTCAAGTGAAATTAAAATGCTAAATTGGCTACTGGAAATGAAGAAAGCGGAATAGGAATCTGAGATCTTAACTGTGTGACATAGTGAGCATGGCTGCTCTTTGACTTCAAAATACAATAATTCAAGCTCTTCTAAGTGTGACTTGTAACATAAATAAGGCATTTTGTGCACTTTGACTAGTATATAGCTAATATGCAAGTTAAATATCTCTCCCATTCTTTCTAAATAAAACCAGACAGTAACATAATTTAAAAGTACCAATTGGACAACAGGCATAGTAACTCATATCTGTATTCCCAGCACTTGGGAGGTAAAGGCAGGAATCAGGAATTCAAGGCCAGGCTTAGCTATAAAAGAAGTTCGTAGGCCTGTGTGGATTCTATAAAACCCTGTCTCAAAATAAATGAATTAAAACACATACACATGGACTATGAGACCAGCATGGCAGTTTCATAAACAGTTTCTATATAATTCAGACAGCATATTTTTAAGTATACATTTCAAATAATCCAAGAGATTATTTTCATCTCAAAGATATATGCTCACTTATTAATAGCAGCCAAGGTAATCCAAATGCCCACTGACAGATGAAAGGAAAGCAATAGACTACACACATAGATACAAAGTTACTCAGCTTTGAAGAAAGGAAACAGTCACACTCTACAGTACAGAGGACACTAGAGAATATGTCACACGCTACAGCACAGAGGACACTAAAGAATATTTGCCACAAAAAGGCAAATACTATACAATGTCACACCTATCTAAAATTGTCAAACTTGTAAAAGAAGATATAATGATAATTACCAGGTGGGGAGTAAGGAAGTTTTTCAATGAGTATAGAGTTTTACAAAATCAAAAAAAAAGTTTAAGAAATCCATTGCACAGTGTGTGTAGAGACTATTTAAACATTTCATTTAAAATTATAGTTAAATTTTCGAGTTTGGAACTATGTGGTTGTTTTTGTCACCACATTTTTAAAATGTAATTTTAAAAAAACAAGTAGTCTCAGTCCTTTCTTCGTGTTCCCGCTAATATCATGCGATCTGCGCCCTGCCACTCTCTCGGCCCCTTCACTCACTCACCCTCCTCCCTGTGGGTGAGTCACTGAGGTTCCCAAGTGTCACCTGGGTCACCCTTTCCTTTCGTTCTCACACCTGATTCCAGCTAATTAATTCTCCAGCTTTCTCTGCTCCTCACACGCAAAGGACTGTAGCTCACTGTTGCCCGAGTCTAAGCTGTGGTCTCTGCATGTGCTGGGTAAGCAAGCGCCTGCATCCCCACGCCCTACCCAGCAAGCTCCACACCCAACCTTTCCGTCAGCCTCCACCTGACTGCCCCGTAGGTCCCCAAGTTCAACATATCCTAACCCTACTTGTTCAGCTTCTAAGGGAAACTTTGAAGTTCCTACTCTTGCCCTTGGTAGTATTTTCCTCAGTATCCTTTCAATCTGCTCTCATCAGGTTTATAAACCCTGTTGCTCTTTCCAGAGAGGTTCCTTGCAGATATGGCCACCTTTCTCCTTATCCCAGATTTCATTATTTCTCAGCAGGGCAATTCCAGTAGCATTCTCCTTAGTCTCAATTTGCTCCTCCAAGCTAA